GCTGTGATTCTTCCGAAGTCACAATTTTTGGTGTTGTTGTTGTTTGTCCGCACTTTTCGCTCACACAGAGAATCCTTGTATATTCAACCACGCAAAGAATCTTTTCGTATCCGACCACAAAAGGGAATCCGTCTGCATTCCGCCATCAATGGAACCCTCCTGTATGCGGCCACCAACGGATTCCCTCTGTGTTCCGCAACGTAAGGAAACCTTTGATAACCGACCACATAAAGATTATGTACGTCATCTGCACGAAAAGATCACTAAGAAATCGACATCACAAATCATCTTTCAATATTCCGCCGCAAACTATATCCGTATTGTATTCCGCCACGTATGGGTCCGTTCTGTACCCGGCCACCAAAACATATCCTGTGTATTCCGACCCGCCGACAACTCCTTTGTATTCCGACCCACCAACAACTCCCTTGGCAATCAACCGCAGAAAGATTATTTTCGTACTCTGCCACAAAAGGAATCCCTCAATAACCCATCACAACAAGAAATCCGTAGTATTCCGCCGACGTGCGAATCCTTGCAATATTCCGCCACAGAAAGAACCCTTGGGCATTCCGTCGCACAGGGGAACTTGTTTGTATTCGTTTTTGTCTCTACTCTCCGCCACAAAAAGGAATCCTTGTGTATTCCTCCACCGGGAGGGGGCCCTCTTGAATTCGACCACAGCAAGATCCCATATGCATTCCGCCACGAAAGGATACCCTTGGTAGTCAAACGCACAAGGACCCCTTTTTTATTCTGTCACAACCGAAATCCATGAGTCATCAGTCCACCACAACATTTTTCAGCAATCTGCAAATTGAGGAATCTGTTTGTATTCCGCCGCTCGGGAACCAGCCAGAAACGGATTCTTCTGGTACTCTGGAATGGTTTGTAATCCACCACGCAAGGATTCCCCTTGTATTTCGCCACAACATGAATGTTTTGGACTCTGCCGCATAGAAAGTCATCTTGTGGTCTGCCACATCGGAGCTAATGTTTTATCCCGCCGCGACGGAATCCTCTGGTAGTCCGAACTCGATATTTCGCCGTCGAAGAGCTTGGCGCATTACGAAAGGATTCCCTTTGTGATGGCACACAAAGGGTTCATTTTCATGGAATGAAGCAAAGTTTCTTTCTCAATCGAATACACATGTGTTTCCTGCGTGGCGGGTTACACAAAGATATTTGCGCAGTTGGGTTGCATCGCTGGAAAAAAAAACAACGCTCCAGCCGCCCACGTTTGTATCGCGCCTGGCGCCTACATCTCTGATGGGGACAACTCGTCTGGGCATCATGTCGTGATGGGCTGGTGGGGTTACGCGGAGCGTCTAGACTTGATAACCACACTACGGCGGCAAGATTCGACCCATCGCTTGCTGCGCAATCGGACAAAGACGGCTTTTGCACATCCACAAAAGACTTCGTTGAACATTGGACTCAGTTCGGCTCTATCTACCGTCATCTCATTCCATTTGAATACCATCGGACTGCGTTGGACTCCATTGGATTCCATAGCAGCTCTATGATATACGACTGGGGCTCATTTGAATATCCAAAGGGATCCATTCGCCGATCCATGACTGTGCAAGGCCACGGGGGGGACACGGATGCCGTTGTCTTCAAAAATGGGCAATTTCACATGGACTCATTAGGAAGGCATTTGGGAATACCTTGGGATGCCCAGTAGGACTCCGTCGGTCCCCAATCAGACGACGTGAGACATTCAAGACCAATCAAATACACCTCAAAAGGACAGCCCATGGGGTAATGCAGTATCCTGTAATGTCAGAGCGGCAAAAGGTGGCGGTGAACGGATCCCTTTCTCTTCAACGCAATCTAGATACATATAAGAACTCGTATACGCGATCCGATTCGGATGCGACGTTTGCCTGGGGTCTGGGAACTGCCGCGGGACTAGTTTGTTCCGAAACGTTGGAATTCCAGGCCCTCCTCTGCAAGATCGCTCCTCCTCCTCCTCCTCGTCCTCCTCCTCCTCCTCGTCCTCGTCCTTCTCCTCTTCCTCCTCCTCCTCCTCCTCCTCCTCCTCCTCCTCCGCCTCCCCCTCCGCCTCCTGCCCCTCCGCCTCCTCCCTCTCCTCCCCCTCCCCCTCCTCCTCCCTCTCCTCCTCCTCCTCCTCCTCCTCCTCCTCCTCCTCCTCCTCCTCCTCCTCCTCCTCCTCCTCCTCCTCCTCCTCCCCCTTTTTCTCCTACTCCGCCTCGATCGAGCCCGATCCCATGGATCGGCCGAACCTCCTCGACCGAAGCCGACCCCCGACCTCTGCAGAGCTGGCCCCTGGCGCCAGGACCTCGACGAGGGGAGGCCCGCCGTGGCGGCAGGGGCACCCCGGGAGGCCAGAGGAGGGGCGAGAAGTATGTCGGGCCTGTCCCCCTACAGGGGGATGTTCGACGACAAATAAAACATACCCCCAACAAATCCTCCCCAAAAGGGCAACACATACTCGAAACAAAAAAGTCCCCAGGCTATGTTTTGACTATTTTGTTGCTATGTTTGGGGTATCGTTTCTAGTTTTCGTCGACAATTCCCCCTGTAGGGGGACAGGCCCGACTTTAAGGCAAGAAGCGTCGAGATCCTGAACTCGGACACAACGCGTTTCATGGGCGCCTGCCTTGACAGAAACCCCTTCACGCGGCGCGCACAAGGGGATGGGGAGAGGGGGAGGGCTTCTTAGAAGGAGGCTGCTTCTTAGAGGGTGCCGGCCTTACGTCTCTAGATAAGGCCCGCGCCTTCTAAGAAGCAGGGGTGCTTCTAAGAAGCCCTTCCCCTCCCCCCACCCCCCTCTGCGCGCGGCTGAGCGTTGGAGCCGCCCCACCCCCAACAAAAACATCCCGCGCTCCTGGAAAACTCGAGGGGGGAGGGGGGCTGGACACTGGCCTCCCTGACCGGGCCACCCTTTTCTCCAAACGGGGGGGGTGTTCGCACCGGGGGGGGGGGGGGCCCAGAATTGCAGAGCGGCGGGGGGGGTCGAACCGGCCCCCCTGCCCCCCGGTTTAAGGGGGAGAAGGGTTTGAATTGAGGGAGGGTCTGTTTCCTGAACTGCAAGGGGATGGGGGGTCAGACCTGAGGGCCCCTCCCCGTGTCCAGAAGGGGGGGGATCGAAACGGCCTCCCCTTACATCCAGAAGAGGGGGGCTCGAACTTGCCCAGGGTGCCTGTTCGAGCGGGAAAGGCCCTGGCGGGCGGGTCGGGCGGAACATGAAAGGAATAAGTATTCTGCATCGTCTGGCTGTCACGCGAGAGCCCCGACGGCCAGTCCTTGTCGAGCGGGCCGGGCCCACGCGGGCGGGATATGTAAGTTTGAAGTGAAGTGTGTTGCGTCGTCCAATTGGCACACGAGGGCCCCAACGGCCAGGCCTGGCCGAGTGGGACGGGCCCTTATGGGCGGGTCGGGTTGGGCGGGCGGGAGGAGGGATCGCGTCACCCACCCTCCTCCTCCTCTTCCTCCTCCTCCTCCTCCTCCTCCTCCTCCTCCTTCTCATCTCCATCTTGCTTCCCCTACTCCTCTTGCCCTTCCTGCTCATCCACATACGTGCCCTCCTCCTCATTATCATTGTCATCCTCTTCCTCCTCGTCCTTCTCGTCCCTCCACCGCCTTCTGCTCCTCCTCTCCTCCTCCTCCTCCTCCTCCTCCTCCTCCTCCTCCGTCTCCTCCTCCTCCTCATCCCCCTCCTCCTCCTCCTCCCCTCCTCCTCCTCCTCCTCCTCCTCCTCCTCCTCCTCCTACCCCCTCCTACTTATGTGCATCGTCTTGTGTATCGTGCTGCCCTGCATCGTCTTATCGGCTCTCGAGAGCCCCGCCGATCAGGCCTGTCCGAGCGGGCCAGGCCCTCGCGGGCGGGTCGGGTCCTCGGGCGGGCACGCACAGGGCGGCCACCAGTCGGATCTGCAAGGAAACCTCGGGACCCCATACGCTACCCTAGTCCTTGGGGTAGCCCGAGGTCGGCCCTACCCTAGGCCATGGGGCAACCTAAGGAAGCCCAACCCTAGGCTGATAGGGATGAGCCTACTTAGGCCCAGGGGTAGGCCCTGAGGATAGGCCTCCGCAAAGGCCTCACGGGTAGGCCAAGGATAGGCCTGGGGAAAGGGCACAGGGGAAGGCAATGGCATTAGGGTTCGACGGCGTCGGCGTCGGCGTCGGCGTCGGCCTCGCTTCGGCGTCGTCGTTCGTCGTGGTCGTCGGCGTCATCGTCGTCGTCGTCGTCGTCGTCGGCGGCGGCGGCGGCGGCGTCGGCGTCGGCGTCGTCGGAATCGTCGGCGTCGCCGGCGCTCGCCGTCGTCGGTTGCGGGTGGGGGGCAACGAAGTTCCCCCGCCCCCCCCTGCAAGTCGGCCCCCCCGTCGGTTCGAACCCCCGATTCGCCCCCTCCCTCCGCCCCCGCCCCCTTTCATAATGGAGGCGAGGGGAGGGGTGGGGCGGTTCGAATCCCTTCCCGCTCCCCCCTTCTCCCGCTTGAGGCCTCTCCCCACCCGGGTCGATCCCCCCCCTTGGCAATTCATGTGGGGGGGTGGCACCCCAGTGCGACCCCCGCCCTTCCTTGAGGGGGGGAGGCCCAGTTCGAACCCCTCCCGTGTAATTCAGGGAGTACCCCCTCCGGTTGACCCCCCCCCAGCCCAGTGTTTACAGAACGAACTCTTCCTTACCTCGAGGACTGGTATCGAGTCCAACTCATGGGCGCCACATCCATCCTCACGAGACTCGCCACACCAGCCACCCGAGAGGGCGGTTTCACGCAACAGCTCTGGCAGCACGACACGCTCCCCAGATGGGCGCTGGCCCGAGAGAAGATCCCACAGGCACTGGCCTGTAGTTGGGTACTCCAGATCTCGTAATAAAAGGGAGGGGGTCTGGACCCTCCAAGACAAGCCATTTCAGACCCTCGTCTTCCTCGCCGTCGTCCTACCCCACCAAGGGGCTCCCGCTGGCCCCGATCGCATCCGACATCCGAGCGCCCCCCCCCCCGCGCGAAGCCCCCCTGCGCCCGCGGCCTTGACCGCCGCCGCGGCCTCGGCGTCCGCCAGCCTCGGAGCGCTAGCCGTGGGCTGCAGGGTCGAAGATCGAGGATGTTGCGGTGGGCTTGTTTTCCATTCCCACCACCACCACCACCACCACCACCACCGCCACCACCACCACCACCACCACCGTAAATAGGAGGGGGGGGGTCCTCCTCTCCTCCGCCTCACCTCCTCCTCCTCCTCCTCCTCCTCCTCCCTCCTCCTCACTCCTCCTCCTCCTCTCCTCCTCCTCCTCCTCCTCCTCCTCCTCTCCTCACGTTTTTCTTTTACTCCTCCTGACCTCCTCATCCTCCACCTCCTTCCCCCCTCCAACTGATGGCGGTGGAGGTGATAAACAGGCCCATGATGTCGTACGCTGTCTGCCCTTCCGAGGCTTCCTAAAAAAAGGCCCCCCGTCGCTGCGGCCCTGTGCTCCAGGCCTGGGCTCAGGCTCTGGAGCAGCTGGGGTGGAGTCCGGCTGCTCGTGGAGGGGGGGGGGCTCCTGCTGAAGACCCAACCGAGGAACATCCACTCGACTCGATCGCACTATACGACGGATGGAGGCCAGCTCACTGATCCTCCCTCTCCCTGGTGGCGCTCGCCGCGGTCTCGGCCAGCGCGCGGATCGTCGCCACGCCGATCTCTGCTGCTGCCGCTGCTGCTGCTGCTGAGAGGGCGGCGGAGGTGAGGGGGCACCTCTCCGAGCGCGACGGACACAAGGCCCATCGCGCGGGGCCTTTCTTCAACATTTTTTGTGGGGGCCGAAGCTCGACGGCCTGGGGAGCTCCTGCCCCCATGGGCCCCCCGAATCCTGCCGGATGTCGGGCCCGTGATCGACTCGCTGACGGCAGGCACCTCGCGATTTGAGCCAACATCACCTGCTCACAACTGGTGCAATGATTCTTCTTAGTGGCTGGCGCCTCCATCCGCGAGGTGCATCCCCTCTCTTGCTCTGGCGTGTTTGCGACTCGCTGCTTGCACGTTCTATGCTGCATCACGCGTTCTCTTCTTCCTCCTGCTCCTCCTGCTCCTCCTCCTGCTCCTCCTCCTCCACCGCCTACTCCTCAGCATGTAATGCTCAAGCCGGACGCATGTTTTGGACGCTCCCCTCCCGACGAAACACCCGCTCGAGTCATCCCCACGGTTGTCGAAACTTGCGTCTCGCTGGACCCATCTTAAACAACATGTAACACCAAAACCTATGGCTTGAAACGTCCGGGCCGCTCCTGAATCGTCGGCCATACGCGATCTCGATTCTCACCGCAACCGACATTCGCAACGCTACGCAGAAGTAGAGCCGTGAACACTTCACATAACTGCAAGATAGCACTACCTTCAGAACCTGTCAGCCGAAATCCATCCACGTCCACACCAATGCCGCTCGAGGCGGCTGAGCACATCCCCCTCCTATTGATCAGCCGAAGCCAAACTAGGCTCCGATAACATTCGTTCGAAACCAACTCTTGGGTCGGCGGCAGAGGCGGCAGCATTTGAATATAAGACCATCAATCCGAGAGGGGCTGTCCAGATTGAGGATGCCACCCTGTCCCGATGGCAGAACTCTTGCGTTTCTGTCTGTGCCGACATGGGCCATACTCAGAATGTTCTGGACATTCACGTTCGAGCATTCAGTTGGCCACTCTACCTTGGACAACCAGATACGACCAATATACGGTGCAGACCTCAGCTGCGGGGGTCACCAAAAGCTGGCGCCCGTGGAGCTCGACAATTCTTTCAGCAGGCACAGCAGACGCCCCCACAACGGCCGAACTCGCCTCAATGCTCGCCAGCTCTTGCACGAGTTCAAGTCTGTCAGCAGCCTGTCGGGCGGCCACCACCGCTGCAGATCGCAGAGGAACGGCGCCCTGCAACTTCACATCTGTTTTGGCCCTGAGCCTCTGCTGGGCAGGAGCGAGGAGAAGGGGCGGGATGGATTGGGATGCAATGGGGGGGGGCAACGAGGGCGATAGTGCGAGGGACAGGGGGTGAGAGAGCGGACGAGGGGAGGGAGCAACAACAAGAACGATGAGTGACGGCTTAACTGACCGGTACATCCCTGCTGGCGGTGCATCGCACCAAACGGTATTCTGTCGCGGGCAGGCACGGTCTCGAACTCTGCCGTGGACGGGCACGCTCCCGATGGCACACAACACACACACACACACACACACACGCGGTCGGCGGGCAGGCAGAATCCCTGCGATGTCAAGGAAGCGAAACGGGGCTGCCGTTACGCGAATTGAGCCACCATGCAAGATGGGGGGAGATGACGACGAAGCGACGGCCGAGAGGAGGGGGAAGCGGGTCGGGGCCGTTCAGGGGAACGGGTCGTTCACAAAACGCACACACACACACACACACACGCGCGCTCCCGAGCTCTCCTGGTATGCGTCGCACTCGTCGCGTGCAACAGATCGGTAGGCCTCGACCGAGGCGAACTCGAGACCGCCGGGGCCCCGGCCAAGGCACGGGAGCGACAGGCGAGACGCCGCCGTGGGATCGGCAAGGACGCCTCCGCACACAACCACGATTACTCAAGATTTCGTAATAAACGGAGGGGGGTCTCATTTCGGGGGGGTCTCTTCCAGGCTATCTTGGAGGGCCTGGGGGGGTCTGGGGACGATGTTTTGGAGGGTTCTCCCACGGGGGAGGTCTGAAATGGCTTGTCTTGGAGGGTCCAGACCCCCTCCCTTTTATTACGACATCTGGAGTACGCAGAAGGCGCCTGCATGGCACGCACAGAGGCATACTCAACACGATATGTCCTCCGTGGAGGCGCGCGTCCGACCCGAACACATAGTATACCCATCTTGTAGCAGATCGCTTCCCGAGCGGTGTGGCCAGAAAGCGCCCGCCATGACGCATGTGCTATGTGATTTCTCGGTGCGCGCGTCGCCCCTGGGGGGGGCGACGCACACACAGTGCTAATATGTTGGGGTGACTAGAGGCCTCCCAGATGGGGTCGGAGTAGGTGGGGTCCAAGGATCGCGCCGCATCGCCGATATATCGGCGATGTATCGGGGATGCACCGGCGAGGCATCGTCGGCGTCGGCGATGCATCGGCGACGACGGCGTGGAGAAAATCGGGCTCCGCATCGGCGATGCGGCGCGATCCTCCGACCCCACCCTTGGAGGCCTGGAAATGGGCACCAACACCAGCACAGGGGGTTGCCTCCACAGTCGGAAGGTGATCCTGGATGCTGGCGCTGGTGGTGATAGTTCGGCCACCTTCGAAGCTAGAACACTGCCACCATCACCGAGGTCTAGGATCTTCTCCCCTCGGTGGAGGCACACCGCCGAAATTGGTGTTGGTGTCAACCTCTGGGTCTACGACACAGGGTCGCCAGAGCGCCAGCCAGCGCATCCACGAATGGGGCCGTGGAGAGGGCCCACAGCGTGCCAGAGAGAGGGCAGCAGCAGCAGCAGCAGCAGCAGGAGGAGGAGGAGGAGAAGGAGGAGGAGGAGGAGGAGGAGGAGGAGGAGGAGGAGGAGGAGAGGGAGGAGGAGAAAGGAGGAGGAGTGGAGAGAGGAGGAGGAGGACAGGAGGAGGAGGATGAGGATGAGGATGGATAGGATGCGAGGAGGAGGGAGGAGGAGGAGGAGGAGGAGGAGGGAGGGCGGAGGAGAAGATGTGGGGAGGAGAGCCGGGGGAGGAGGAGGAGGTGGAGGAGGAGGAGGAGGAGGTGGAGCAGGAGGAGAGGAGGAGGAGGAGGCCCTGTCTGCACGCCACTCCGTACCCGGGCCCGAGTTCCTGGGCATGTGGGTCGGGCGAGGGGGGGATAGCAAAGGGGGGTTGAGAATCAGCTCGCGTAGCTGATTTCCCGGCGCCTCCTGGCGCCGGGAGGCGCCATGTATCGAGGAATGGGCCCCTCGGTGGGCCGAAACCAGCTGCATGCAGCAGATTTCGTACCCCCCCCTTTCCAACCCCCCCCCTTTCGCCCGACCCGACCCTGGCCGCCCCCGGCCCCGACGGGGCGCCTCCGCCCCGCTGGCCGAGGCCAGGAGGGCCTTGACGGCGTCCTCGGGCCCAGGATGCCCTGGAGGGGGAGGAGGAGGAGGAGGAGGAGGAGGAGGAGGAGGAGGAGGAGGAGGAGGAGGAGGAGGAGGAGGAGGAGGAGGAGGAGGGAGGAGGAGGAGCAGGAGAAGACGGAGAAGGAGGGGAGGAGGAGGAGGGGGGGAGGAGGAGGAGGAGGAGGAGGAGGAGGAGGAGGAGGAGGAGGGAGGAGGAGGAGAAGGAGAAGGAGGAGGAGGAGGAGGAGGAGGGGAGAGGAGGAGCTTCGAGGAGAGTCGAGGGGAGAGGGAGGAGAGGAGGAGGAGGAGGAGGCGGAGGAGTGAAGAGGAGGCGGAGGAGGAGGAGGAGGAGGGGGAGGAGGAGGAGGGAGGCGGAGGAGGGAGGATGGGAGGATGAGGATGACCGAGGGGGGAGAGCGAGGAGGAGGAGGAGGAGGAGGAGGAGGAGTTGGAGGACGAGGAGGAGGAGGATGAGCAGGAGGAGGAGGAGGAGGAGGAAGAGGAGGAGGAGGTGGAGCAGGAGGAGGAGGAGGTTGTTGGGGACGGGCCTAAAGCCAGAGCACCTCCTCGTTCAGCCAAAATCGGAGGCCTCCGAGTCTGACTCGAAACCGCAGTCCGAGGCTCGGAGGGAGGCGGCCCCTAGGTCCTTGACCCAGGGTAAATCCGACTCGGACAGGCCGAACGAATCCAACACCTGCTCTCGCGGGGCGAAGCCCTCCGCGGAGCCGACATTCACAGGACCTGAAACTCCCTGGGGGGCCTGGCCATCCTCTACCAGCGACTGAGCCAAGACCCGCTGCTCGGCGAGGCTCAGGCTCTCATGAGCCCCCAGAGTCAAATTCTTCAGGTCTTTCTTATACGAGGGAAACTTGCCCTGCCGAATCCTTCTCAGCTGGTCATTAATTCCACCCGTCGTGAGTTTGGGCCTGCACAGGCCTTTAGCTCCAGCATTGGGAGCCCCAGAGAAAAACGATCCGCACCGACAACAAAATTGGATCCTACCCCTGGGGTTTCCAG